AGTACATGTACAAAGATTCCGTGTAGTCGAGGCCTTCGCGCTGGAGGAATACCTTGATGACCAGACGAGCCTTGTACTTGCTAAACTGGCCCGTTGCGTCGAATTTGGTACGCCAAATCCACTTGCACGCCAACGCCTTGCGATCAGGGGGCAGATCTGTCGGAGACCAGGTGCCGTTGTTGACCAGTGAGTCGTACTCATCTTGACTTGCTTCGAGCCACATGGCCTTTTTCGGACTTGCTTCAATATCCTTGAACGACTGAGATGTGGCGTCAACCACGTTACGCGCATGCACTTGGTGGTAGCGGCCAGAGACAGCTTCGAGGCCATTGGGGTCGAAGTCTACTTCACCCGAGTCTTCATCGTTACGCGCATGCACTTGGTGGTAGCGGCCAGAGACAGCTTCGAGGCCATTGGGGTCGAAGTCCACTTCACCCGAGTCTTCATCGCTGAAGTCACTTGCTCCAGGACGTCTTCGTCGTCATCGTGCACTTGTGGGACATGGGTTGCCACATCAGTAGATCCAACCTTCACGCGTTTCGTCAGTCTTGGCAACGCCGCATCTACTACAAACTTGAACGATCGACACTCGAAGAGGTCACCAGCATCGCATTCGACCAGACGGTAGCTCTTGCGCTGAGACAAGTACCCCGCAAACACGCTATTGGCGGCTCGAGGGTCCAATGTGCTTCGTTTGGATTTGTCGATGAACGCAAACGCCGTGCATCAAAACGATCGAAGATGCTCGATGTTGGGCTTCCGGCTAAGCGAACTGGTCAAGCAAGAAATTTGGATGTTTGATCCACGCCAGCACTGTTGGGCGCATAGTGAAGGACGCCAGAGAGATAAAGTCGTACAACAATTGTGGACAGCATTACAGGTAACGATGGGATATAACGCCCACTTGCCCTTCGATCTGGTTCAAATCGCTGTGTTCCTATTCGCTAATGCTCTTCGAACTACGAAGGACTTTCCAGCCAATCAACATTCTGAATTCATGTTTTTTTCAATTGTTGGAAGGAAATTATATTGTATTACAGTGCATCGTGTTTTAAAACACGAATTAAGCTAACTTGAGTT